CGAACACCTGGCCCGCCACGAATACCTGGTCACGCCAGCATCAACCTTCATTTAGAGGGTACTCTCGCTACCAAACGCCGCGTCTAACTCCCCGAACACCTGACCCCGCCACAGCTTTCCCCAAACAGCTACCCGTAATCTCTGGCGCGCTCCCCCTTGCTACGGCGGGGTCGGCGGATATAGAGTGATAACATCTTGTTATCCTCAGTATAGTTTTTATTCCTTACATTCCTTGTGCGAATCAAACTTGCACGCATATGTCAGAAATGTGTGCATAACAGTTTTTGCATGCACACACCTCTTCTTGGTGCGATTTTTGCTTTGACCGTGTAGAAATGGTTCTTCAATGTTCTTCAGGCGTACACAGCATTCACAAACACTTGTCACTTGAGCACTTGAACATACAATTCTGACATCGGCGAACATTCCTTAAGTGCTTCGTGGTCTATGGAGCATAGTAACTTGGATATTGAATTTGTTTGCGTAATTTTGCGTATAGACTATTGGATTTCATTTCGCCTTTTGTGTGTTTAAAGAATAGTCCTTGAAATTTGATGTGAAAGAACAACGCAACGAACAACACACGCAAAAAATGGTGCTAAATCTTGGTGGATGCTTTGCTATTGGGGTTGTCAGCTGGGTTGATTTACAAGATTTTACAAGAGCAATTTAAACATGTTGGAGGTTCATAGACGAACAGCTTATCCATGCCACCATTATGCAGCCCATTGTCCATAGCCAAGAGAGGTTTAGTGTGCGGTGGCACTCTCCACATGGTCTTTTTGCGCAGCAACACTTTGGGGGTCCGGTCCCGATGTTGTCTGCCCATTTTCCAGGTCTTGCACAAGCCCTTCATGCGCTTTTACAACCAAGCGATGCAAGAGGCACTTCCTGACTGCCGGAACTACAACACACACACAAGGGATATTGGTGTATATATATATATTCATGTATATACATACATGCATACATACATAATACAAGAAACCATCCTGATGCAAACAGATCGCCATCACACTAGGTGATCCTAGGCAGCTCAGACCGTGTTCTGAAGATTGATTTGGGGACCCAACAGGGCTGTGGAGCTGTTGCTCTACGACATTCTAGGACTAGGAGTGGTTGTTGCCAACGACAGTGTGGCATCCTACTGACCTTGGTAGGTTCACGTAGGTTCTCGTGCTGATTCTGGATAGACTCATGAACATTCTGCACGTTGCTTGAAAACATAACATTACTGTTGGGTCCATTGTCTAGGCGTATGCTGCATTGTGTTTGCATATATTACTGTATATATATATATATGTATTTTTTTTGACAGGGTGCTGGAATTTTTAGGTTCACTGCCAGGCAGACTCCGGAATGAAGCAAAATGCAGTTCTCCAAATTTTGCTGAATCTTCCTGGCAGCTGCTTGTGAAATGCCAGGCAGTTTTGCAAACGCTCAAGGACTTTGTGCATTTCAGAGGCCTTCATCGCCCGTCAGTATGACACATGATGGTCAAAGCCTTGAAACAGGTTGCTCCCTCGAAGGCAAAGCTAAACACAGACGTTTACAATCATAAGAGTGGCAGGTATTCCTGATTCATATCAGGTCTATGTTTTTCCATGCCAGCTGTGTTGACACGTGATCTATATATAGAGTTCAGACAACACGTACAGTCTCCTTGTCCTGACATACACGACTCGATTAATGAAGGCAATCGAGGTTTAAACTGTAAACTACTCGATCTTGTACTTGCTCCCATTCGGGCAGTCATTTCTACAGCGAAAACAACAAAAACGCAACGACACATACTGTCGAATGCTGACGTGAACATGTTGTGGGGTCCAGGAAAGGATAAGGCGGCCATGCTGCCAGGGGAAATGGAATTCAATTGAATTCACGTATGGATGCAACTTGAAGGGCTTTAGGGGGCGCTTTAGGGCATCGCTACTAGTAGCTCCTGGCATAACTACTAGTAGCCAGAAGCTACTAGTAACAAGGGCCTACAACAGACTCGAAGTGGTGGCACTTGTCAGGTATTTGTATGGCCAACAACAAGCCGGAGGATGTGCAGCAACGCAGGGCTCGAACGGTGCGGCTACCGTGGGGACTCGAGTCAGAACAAATTATAAAAACTATCGAACCTAATTCCCCTGCAACACAAGTATCTATTTGGTTCCATGATGCAGGTTCACAAGTAAGCTTCGGAAAGACGACAGTAGGTCTATATAGAAGGCTAGTGGAAGAACGCTAGTGGAAGGGCGAACCCCTGTGGGAGGTGATCCTGTCCGCATTTCACTCGATCGAGATTCAGAATTCTGATGACTTGCTGCTCTTGAGGTGGCTTGGCGCCAACGGTGTCATTCCACACTTTGATTGCTACATGTTTGATTGCTACGATTTGCCTTCTTTTTTGGAGTGGCGCCAACGCAACAAAGTCGCCAAACTTCAAGTTGATGTATATAGCCATGTCAAGTGCACGGGTTGTCCAGTTTCGTGAGAAAGCCGGCGCTGTGAATAGACAGCCATGAGATCAGGCAGTCGTCCCTATTATTTGTTCTGCGAGGTCAAGCATTTTCTGGGGCAAGGGGCCGCTGGTGGCCCCATGCGATGGCGGCTCCAGCTTTTCTGAGTGGGGGATAGCTACCCTGCCATTGCTGAACCAAATTCTGCATCACCCTACTGTACAAAGCCTCCCATTCAGAAGGACCCAGCGGTTCAGACCGGGTGCCACAGTTCCAAGGTGCAAGCTTTCCTCGGATGACACCGATGGGTGTCTTTTCCAAAGTGCACTTGAAGTTTCTACCACACACCTGGGTGGGCATCCTCGGTTTAAATTTCCTCTTGAAAACAATGTTTCACTGCGCACCTCTTGAGATTTCAATTGACTTGAACATGTTCACTCATTGGCACTGGGAATGTTCACACTAGATTGGTTCCAAACAGGCAAGTTCGATTGAGCAGCAGGTTGCCCCGAAAGCAACATACTGGTAGGAGGTGACTATGACATACTATGACTATATATGACTATGTTAGTCTGAGAGAGAGTGGACATTTTGTGGTTTGAACATGTTTAAACACAAACTTGGCCATCGCAACTGTGATTGCAAAGTCAAAAGCAACAAGGGGCCAACGGTGTCATGCATCAAAGCACGGCGACGACTTCGGAAAACTACTCACTTCCGAGGGACAGAACGCTCTCAAGTGTGACGCCTCAAGATGTGCTGAAGACAGTGTCCATGTCACACCCACGGTTGCTTGGTGAACATTCATTAGGCTCGAGTGGCATATGATGTTGTTGGCAAGGTGGCAGTCCTTCTATGGCAGGTGAAGGTCTCTACAAGTTAGTGCAGCCATTGATTGTCACAGAGGAAGTTTGCAAGCCAAAAAGGATGCAATGCTGCACATAAAAATTTGGCATTCCCTGCCCACCAATAAGTAGTCAGCTACACCCTTCCAAGAGCCAATGTTTCCTCTTTTCAATGCTTTTGTGCTTGAACAGACATAGGGTAGAATACGGAGAGCACGACAGCTTTCATGTGGCTGCAGTGTTACAGCCGTTTGGCACGTTGGGAACGAAGCACGCATGGGCTATGACTATGACTATGATTTGTTCAGGATGCATCACTGGGAGAGGAGTAGAACACGCCAGTTAATCTTGAATCCTTGAATCAATCGCTCCTGAGTGGAATGTTTCAACTGAATGCAAAGCAGGTTGTCCGATTTGTTCTTCAAAAGCAGTGCTTGTTTTCAGCCAATTGCATGATTGAAGATGCCGCGTCCCTCAGGTTGAAGTCTTCCAAGACGATCACGAAAGAACAAAACTAGCAACAGCTGAGTATCTTTGCTGTACATTGCAATTGAGCTGCGGATATTTGATGGCTAGAAGGAGTCAACCTTTGGATTTGGTGCTGCAACGAATTACTCTGGAATATGACCAAGAGTTGAATATAATATAAAGCTATGAGTTAGCCACGGACAATTGCAGGTTTGGGCGCAAAGAAAGCTGCATCAAGTTTAACTTTTCCTGTTCATAGGATGAACCAGAACCGGAGATCCTTGTGGCAGGTGCTGAAGCCTTAACAAGGAAAAAAGGTGAGTGTTGTTGGGGTATACGTTTAGGCTAAAGGTAGAATTCTTACACATATTCGCAGTTCAGAAGTAGTCCTGGGCATGTCGCTGCCAAAGGCAACCGACAAGTCTTTTTTCCTGCCAGCATGCTTGGCGGATCTTGGCAGTCTTTGTTTTTTGCTCTGGAGCTATTCGGGCATATTCGGGAAAAGATAAACTTAAATTATCCTATTGCATTGGCGTATTGCGCAATCCTTGTGAAGCAGGACATGTTGAGCTCATTTTCATGTGTGTGTGTGTGGCTGCTCTGAAGACTCAAACTACCGGTGACTGTGTTTTGGGGAGGTGCTCTCACCTAGAGGCGTTCCCAGCAGAACATGGGAGAGTCCCACAAAGACGTGCTGGAGCATCGTGGCTCAGGCCGTCATATTGCTACGCCTACTTAATTAAGTATTATATAGGTTTCAGAGGGCAACTTTGGTCCCCCAAAAGGCCTTTTTGTACCACAACAGATCTCAGATGATTTCTTGGGAGTCACCGGTAAAGCCCTCCTGCGTAGGCCCAAGCTGCAAGCATGCTGCAAACTGGCAAAGCAGTTGCTTTGGTCTCACTTGTCCCAACTAGTTCGTAGGCGTGCGAGTCATGAAAGATGTTTCTGGTGGCGGGCTATCATGCAAAGCACTCACGAATGTTGCTCTCGTTTGATATCTTCAATCCAGTCTCTTGTGTTGGCCCTTGTTGTCATGTTGCAGGTCACAAGACGAGAGTGAACGTTCGATTTTGTTCCCGACCGTGCTCTTCTTTTCAATCGCATCATGCATCTTAAGGCTTGCGTGGAAGCCAGCGACCCTGAAGAAGTTGCAGATGTTTTCTCTAGATTGAGGGGCACCATCCAATACTGTATTTTCTTTGATCAAGCAATTTTTTGTGCATGATTTGATGCACAGGCTACACTTTATAACTTTGTCAAATATCCCCCTCTTTTGGTGTCAAATATCCACCCTTCAGACACTGGGATAAATGGGCCTTCTTTTCAGTGACATGGAGCTTTTCGACATAGAGGTCTCTCGGACATTAATGTCTCGGAGAGTGAGGTCTCGGACATTGATCTCCCAGACAGTGAGGTCTTGGACATTAACGTGTCGGACAGTGAGGTCTCTCGGACACTAATGTCGCGGAGAGTGAGGCCTTGGATACTAATGTCTCGGACAGTGAGGTCTCGGACATGAAACTAATTATATAATGTTCAAAGCCAAGCCCTAAAAGCCCTAAGCCCTATTAACATTAGGGCTTTAGCTGCAGATCCACTCACACTCAACTGAAACATTGGAATCACAGTGGTTGACTGTTCGATTTCAAAAGCTGAGATGATGAGCACTGATCTGAAATATTGAGCTGATGAACTACTACTACTACTACTACTACTCCTGCTGCTGCTGCTACTACGACGACTACTACTACCACTACCACTACAACCTCTGCTTGCGAAGCAAGCTGTGGTTTTTGGAGTTGCTTTAAAGCGGTGGCCTGTGGAGTTTTTCAGGCTGTCTTTTCATGGTCAGCAGTGGATGGAGTTGACCTTGCGCTGTGAGGATCAAAGATGCTAGCGAGCAAAGGGCCAGCAGCTGCAAGAGCAGCAGCAGCTGCAAAAAGCAGCCTAGGCCCCCTTTTCACAAGCAAAAAGGGTGCACCAAAAGCCATAGAAGAAGTTGCAGTGATGGCGAGAGGAGATGCAGAAGGTGAGTGGCTGACAAAGAGGAAGTGGAAGCACCTGAGGAAGCAGCGCCAGACGAAGAGGAAGAGGAAGCGCCTGGTGGTGGAGTCTTTTTGCAGCGCAGGTATTCAATGCGTCCTTCCAACTCTGGCAACAAGCGTCTCGGTCTCGGAGATTATAATGTCTCGGAGAGTCAGGTCTCAGACACAATGTCTCGGAATGTGCTCTTGGACGTGTCAGACACGACGCCTCAGACACTGAAAGGGTGATGTTCGACGCCAAGTTGCAAAAATCCCCCTTGACATATCGACGACTCGGTGACGATGTTTTTCTGCCACGGCCACCGCCACCGCTGCAGGTACTTCGAAGCGATGAGGCCGATTTTGCGCACGGCCCCTGTTGCTGAGGTGGTCGTCGCAAACAATCCATGCAAGTTCTCATCCTAAAGCTTATGCAAAGATGAGGCACCACAAATGCTCTTGCACTGACCGCAATATGTTTCATAGTGTCCAAATGACTCCACGTAGTATCACGTGGTGAAATTGCAACATCATCTTCATTTGGATCACCACAAAGCCAATTAGATTCCTCCAGTGTCGATGGATTTTTAGCCGTGCTGAGGCAGTGACAAGGACTTGTTCTGCGTGAGCGCATGGAACGACAACGGCCCGCGCCCAGTGATGATTTTCCAAGAGGTTTTCGTTGAAGTGTCTGAAACATGAAAGGTAGTCTTACGGTGCGTGAAGTGCTTTGTGTTGTGGTTCAGCAGACACAACTGCTTCAAGTGTTCATTCACTAAGTTCCACAGTTCAGCTGTAACCCTAGCTGCAAAGGAAAACATGCTGAGTGGACACATGAACTGAACATGTTACTGCTCCTGATCCATACAGAATGAGGCTATCACAACTTGGTTCTGGATCCAAAGGCTGCATTCCGCACAGTCAGATCCTTAATCAGGCATCTTCCATAAGGAATGAGAGACTTGGCTTTCCCCAACCCTGTCATATCTTTCAGCAACCTACTTTTGCCTGGACAAAAGGGCCAAGGGGCTTCCGCAATCTGAACAATCATGAGGACTTCTTCCCTGGCCTTGGTTGGATGATGGTTCAGCACCCAGGATGGCTCTGAGCGTTCACTGACGTGGCTAGTAGCCTATGAAGTTGATGGACCACGTTTATCAATGTTTTGATTTTTTTTGACATTCCCGATCCAAACAGCAGATGACAACCTGCAGCTGATCTGGGTCAAATTCATCAAACTTGGGGTCTTGCCAGAAACCAAAGCTGCCAAAACTGTTCATTTCCCCTTTCTTTGGCAAAGTGGTGCATGCAAAGCACAAATTTTTCCTTGGGTGGTGTTTAGGAATCTGTCCGCTTGGTGGAATATAATTGTAGTTTGTTCAATCCCAGGCATATCTAGACTGTTATGCTATGCAGCTACACATGCAAGGTGCAAGGTAGCAAAGCATTGGCAACACTATAGACTCGTTGTCGCAGACATGCCTCCAAACTCTTCATAAACATACACACATAAGAACATGTAGTATGGCCATTAAACACCCCTCACGTATTCCAAAGTGGGAAATTCTTCGGCTCAGCACAGAGCTCAGGACAAGGACCTTTGGGACGAGTTGAGGAACCGTTGGGCGGTGCCTTCCCTCACCGCATGAGGTTCTTGTCGACGGACCAGTTCATTCAGGGCGTCCTTCCGTGGCATATTGGGACGGTGAACAGATATTTCTGTAGGCAAGCCACAGATTTGACGTAATGCCTTCAAAAACGTACACAGGCTGCTTTCAACCAAGCAGCACTGCAGAGACACTTCAATGGTTTGCCGTGGAGTAGTAGCCTCCTTTGCCCCCATCGCATCGAATGGGTGTTGCTTCCCAACTCTATGCACCGCAGCCATTGGGCAGCTGAAGACTGGAGGCATCCGCCGAAGGGCGGCCTTCTTATATATTATATACAGTAATTGCATTGCACAACCTAAACCAGCCAACTCTAGGATTATGAACATTAACAGAATTGCAAAGTCATACAGAAGTTGAACATGATTGAATCTGAAGGGCCTTTCAACATCTTTCAACCCCTTGTGGCGAGGTAAAACGACAAGATATCGGCTTTACCTCAACTACGAGCTGAAACACGGGCGATTGCATTAATTCCGGTTCATGTTTCCTCTCCTTTTTTCTTTCCCTCAAAATGGATCCCGAGTCTCCATGGTGTCTCTCCCCAGCAGTACGTTGTGTATGTGTAACTCTTTTGGGTCCCTAGTACCTTCGGGACTCCTTGCGTCGTTTCGGGCTTGGCATTCAGCTTTTCGCATCGCGAATGCGATGCCACACACTATCTTTGCCATGCATGCGACGAGGGCGCTGCTGGCCCCCCTCGCTGCTGCGGTTGCCAGTACATGGCAGTGGCAAAGGCTGTGGGCTCAACTACGCTTAAATCACAAACAAAAGACTAGAATGGCCAGAATCCAAAGACAGTATCCGGCGCGTAAAGTACAGTATCCATTTCAGAATTGTGTGTGTGAGCACCTTTCCAGCAGAGCTTCCTGGAAATTGTCCACCATGTCCACACGCAGAAACATGGCGTCAATCAGCCTTTGCCAGGTCAGCCCACAGCGAGGGGCGACAGACTTTTCGACGACTGAGGAGGGATCGATTGAGGGTGTGACGTGTGTTTCCGTGAAAGGACATGGGTTGTTCTCTTGGAAGCAAACCAGGTGCCTGGAAACATGGAGAGGCATGAAGCAACTTGGAATTGCCATGAATATGTAATATATAGAGATGTGCTTCAAGGTGATTCTGTGATTTGATTTGCCTCCCTTGCTTTTCTACTTTTTTGTGTATGCCTTTGTTTTTCATTTTGCATCTTTCTTGGTTTATGTGCGGTTTATGTTGTGCATTACGTGTGTTTGGAATTTCGATCTGTAGTCTCTTCTTTTGCGTGTTTGGTCTCACTTTTGCTTGTAGAATCACAGGCCTTGCTTGGGGCTTGGAGCCCTTAGAGCAGCGAAACCAAAAGATCCCAAAAGCAAAAGCACAGATATTTTATACTGTTTATGATGCCTTCATTACAGTACTACTTACTTTGGATTGAGCTACAGGTCTTGACACATTGTGCTT